CTGATACTCAACAAATTTCACTATTCTGCGTCCTGATACGCACAAGTGGGAAGAAAAACAACAACTATGATGGACTATAATGAGGATTAAGTTGTTAATATGTTGCTCTGGTCGGACAACAACTTCAAATATGTAAGCTAAGCTCCACCGTTAGCCTCCATGTTTACTTCCAAACACTGAGCACTTCTTTTTATGGCGGTTGGCAGAACACTGAGAACGCCGACGGTATTGATTGCGCCCTCTACTGCGCATGCGGGAAACTTTCAGGTCTATTGCCCGTTCACACTGCAGAACACATACAGGTCGCATATGTGTGGCAGTGTGAATGGCCCGGCAAAAAAAAAATCCAGTTTGACAAAAAATCAGAATTGGGTCACTTCAGGCTGCAGTGTGAACCCACCCTAACTTTTGTCACACCCTCATCATGTCTTTGTCAAAGCCAAAGCCTGCATGCAGTTCATGTATTGGATAAATAATTAAATGTTGATGACATTTGAGGATATTTTTTAAATGTTTTTTGTGGAATCCTTTATGCGGCCCAGCCTCACCCAGACTCTGCCTTCAGCGGCCCCCGGGTAAATTGAGTTTGAGACCCCTGTTTTAAATACTCTGCTATCAGTTCAGAATAAACCTGCCCAGGTTTGAAAAGTCTATAGGAAGTGAAAAATTAGGTGTAATCGTCCTTTAGCTATTTCCCAAATTGGAAGCTGCAATAGGAAACCAACTTCAGCTTCATCCTTTTGAGGATTTTTGACACATAACACATAAAATGATTTCTATATAAAAGGAATAACCCAACAACTATGCATAAAATGCCATTGATTACCATCTTCAGTCTTTTCAAACTAATAATAAAAAAAGAAAACTGGACAAATTGAAACAGAGTGTGACTGAGAACCACTTACAATGTACTCTCTGATAAGACCATGCCTGTTGTCAGGGGGGCTCCAGGAAACCTTTACTGTACCATCCTCATTACTGTCACAAGTCAGCTGCAGGTTCCTAGGCGGGTCAGGAACTGCCCCACATTAACACACAAACACACATACAGCCATTAGGAAACAGAAAAGTGTTGGACATTCACAGTGAAATTGGCTGGTGACTGGAACTGAGACATCCATCCATCCATCCATCCATTTTCTTCCGCTTCATCCGGGGTCAGGTCATGGAGGCAGCAGCTTCAGGAGGGAGGCCCAGACTTCCCTCTCTTCAGCCACTTCTTCCAGCTCCTCCGGGGGAACCCCAAGGCGTTCCCAGGCCAGCCGAGAAACAGAGTCCCTCCAGCGTGTCCTGGGTCTTCCCCGGGGCCTCCTCCTGGTTGGACGTACCCGGAACACCTCATCAGCGAGGCATCCAGGAGGCATCCTGACCAGATGCCCAAGCCACCTCAACTGGCTCCTCTCGACGTGGAGGAGCAGCAGCTCTACTCTGAGTCCCTCCCGAATGACCGAGCTTCTCACCCAGCCACCCTGCGGAAGAAACCCATTTTGGTCGCTTGTATCCGCGATCTTGTTCTTTCGGTCATGACCCAAAGCTCATGACCATAGATGAGGGTGGGAACGTAGATCGACCGGTAAATCGAGAGCTTCACTTTTTGACTCAGCTCTCTCTTCACCACAACGGACTGGTACAGCGCCCACTTCACGGCAGACACTGCCCCAATCCGCCTGTCAATCTCCCGCTCCCTTCTTCCCTCATTCGTGAACAAGATCCCCAGATACTTAAACTCCTCCACTTGAGGCAGGACGACCCCCCTGACCCGGAGAAGGCTCTCTACCCTTTGCCGGCTCAAGACCATGGCCTCGGATTTGGAGGCACTGATCCTCATCCCAGCTGCTTCACACTCGGCTGCGAACCGCTCCAGTTAGAGCTGCAGATCACGGCTTGATGAAGCCAATAGGACCACATTATCCGCAAAAAGCAGAGATGCGATCCTACGGCCACCAAAATGGATCCCTTCAACACCTCGGCTGCGCCTAGAAATTCTTTCCATGAAAGTAATGAACAGAATCGGTGGCAAAGGGAAGGGCAAAGGACAAAGGGCTGGCAGTAAGTTGGGCAAGCCCAACTTACTGCCAGCAATGCAGACCAGACTCTGACACCGGTCATACAGGGACCTGACAGCCTGTATCAAAGGGCCTGGTACCCTATAATCCCGGAGAACTCCCCACAGAGCCCCCCGTGGGACACAGTCGAATGCCTTCTCCAAATCCACAAAACACATGTAGACCAGTTGGGCAAACTCCCATGCATCCTCCAGAATGCTGCTGAGGTTGTAGAGCTGGTCCAGTGTTCCACTACCAGGATGTAAACCACAATGCTTTTTCTGAATAAATCACTATCCGATGGACCCTCCTCTCCAGGACCACTGAATAGACCTTGCCATGGAGACTTACAAGTGTGAGACATTTTTATGTTAAATGAAGGACTAGCTGGTCAGAAACATCAAACTCTCATTTTCTAATCAGTGAATACACGGTAAGTACCAAGTTGTCACCAGATTCTACCACTCTTTGGTAGAACTGCTGTTAGTGAAAGAGACTCAAAGCCAGCTGCTTTAAGTGTCAGTAAGGGGTTTGAAATGATTATGTAAGATGATACTAAGATGACAATTTCAAACCCTTCTATGATTTCTAAGTGGGAGAACTTGCAAAGTTGCACGGTGTTCAAACACTTATTTTCCTCACTGTATTCTGCAGGCACCCCCGTGTATCTGAACTCTGTTTTAATCACGTATGTCAGTCTGTGTATGAATATTTATACCACATGCTAAAAAAGTTACTGCTTTACAACCCATTTTTAGACACAATATGCATTGTTTTGGACCAAGTTTGATGCATTCATATGTGACTTAACCATTAAGCATATGACATAATGATGACAAAACCTTCATACGAATGTCGTGTTTTAATACCGTCGATCACTGTATTCAGCTATTCGTGAAGATGGCTTCAGGCATTTATCCGTCTTTTACAATTTTCCAGTGTTAGGATTTTTCTGTGTTGTTATCATTCTTACATTTATAACATTCAACATTTATTATTACTTTAGATCATTAACCCAACATTATATCGTTATAGATTTTTGTGATTTTCAAATTAAAGTATTCTCTTCCTTCTGTGTGTATAAACTGACCTAAAGGCCCCAACTGCCTGTTCGTCTTCATGTGAAACTGTTCACTGTGTGTTTCCCAGACCTTGAATTATGTTTCCACAGGTGCCTTCTTATCAACCGGAATACTCCCTACCTTAGAAACTGCCTGTGTGCAGTAGTATTTTGTCTCTGCTGTCTTCCTTACTTATCCTCCCTCTTTTTTGCTTGATAATAAAAGACAAAGCTGTAACCAAAGGTCTTTAGAACGCTCAGTGAAAGGCTTGGAGGAGCGGTTTGCTGAGTCTTCTCCTTTTGCAAAAGCTTGGTCAGAAAACTCATAAGTTGTCTGTGGTTCTTTTATGTAGGTTCAAGAATACCCATCATCTTGGTGCCGTGACCCGGATCTCTACAAGCCGTCACTGACAGGCAGAGAGGACACGCTGAAAACCCTGCACGGCCAGAGTCAACAGGACCTGGAGAGAAAGACACGGGAGGCAAAATTCTTCGCTGGGCCAGCGACCTAGGTCCGACTTTGTCTGCCAGCAGCGAATTGACGAGATCCGACAGGACAGAACGAACCGACCGAAACGTAAGTGAAAAAGCGCTATATCTAAAGGTTGGAGTCCTTGTTAAATGGCGTTTTAACTAAAGTCCCAGAGGGTTAGAGTCCCAGTTGACATGTTACAGGAGAGCTGTTTCTAGAGCCGTCTTTTAATGAGGATACCCCATAAGGGCGAATCCTCACATTGATAGGAAATTCTTTGTTGCTGCTATTTCTTTGCTGTGACATTGCTGCTATGTTGGTTGTGTGTGTGTGTGTGTGTGTGTGTGTGTGTGTGTGTGT